AACCCAAATTTAGTAAAGAAGTTCTTGATTCGAATGCAACAATTTTGAGGCATTGATTCGTTTTGAAGAACATGTGATAAATATCCTACACTTATAAATTTTCGATAAACAGATCTTATGGATCATTATAAATAGTGTATTGAAGAAATTTTTGATTTGATGATTATTGATAATAGAACAATTTTCAGGAAATAGTAATTGAGGATCTTACTGGGAGCTTGTTCGGCTGAAAATATATGGAAGCATTCTTTCACGTCATCTTCCTTAGCCACTGAGATAAACTCCTCTAAACGGTTGCACATCCCAGAAGAATTGATTATATCGAAAACGAAACTGACGAGAGAAAAGTGAAGGGGTTGGAAGAAGTAGATGTCTAAAGGAGGATTTGGGTGAGAAAAAGGGTTTGTTGACACATCGACATGAAGGTGGTGATTAATCTCGTGACTTTTATATATTCCATATGTTTCATTATATAAGATTTTTTAGTTGAATGCATAAGGATTAAGAAATCATTAAAAATATTATTTATTACTTAACTAAAAACATTTCAACCAATTGAAAAAATATACTGTAGAAGATAAATGGTCGTAACATATTTAATTAATATAAATTCTGCATATAAACATGCGAAAATCAAATAAATAGAACAAATCAAAAATTTTAAAACGTCAAATAAAATGGGACAGAAGGAGTAATAGATGGCATTGCTATTAAAATTATTGGTATTTGATTAATTAACCCCAAGTAAGATATAGACCAAAAGGCCGTTCCATTTGTGGTTTCCCGAGAGTTCTAGGGTTCCTTCTTCGCTACAGTGCGATTTGTGATCCGACTTGTTTCGGTTTTTCTACTCAAAATCTCCTCTTTATTCACTCAGATCTACATCTTCTTCATCTCCTTTTCCTCAATTTCGTAATGGAACGAGAGGTTTGGCGCAGTTTTCAACAATTAAGTCTTGGTTCGAGTCAAGTTCCGATACAACTCCCGGANNAAACGAGACGTCGCACGGCTCNTAACAGTGACAGAAGCATAATGGTGAGATGTCTAAACCCTCAATTTCATCGACCCAAATGGATCAAGCAAACACTCCCTGGAGCATGGAAAATGGAAGGTCGTGTTTCAGGCCAAGTTAACGATGACGGTTCTGTTCAATTCTTCTTCACTAATGAGCACCATTTGCTGACTNTTCTCGAAGGAGGACCATGGTCATTCAAGGATTGGATGGTTGTGGTTGATAGGTGGACAAATCGTCATTTTCCGAGGTATCTAAAAGACATATCCTTTTGGGTTCAGATTTTTAATCTCCCGAATGAGCATCGGAACATCCATACTGTTTTAGAAATTGGGAGTCATTTGGGTAGGGCTGATGAGGTCAATATCAAAGAACCAACAAGGGACAAT